TATTTAACACAGAAATAGTCTGACTGGTAGAGGACAACATAGAATGATGGTTAAACAATCAGGGATGTTTTGAAAAAGTTTTAACTAGCTGCTACGTGGGAAAAGAAAGACCCAAAATTTGGGGAGGGGGATTCAAGGTCCAGTGGGCACAGACCTGTCACCATGATATCATGACTTACGTGACTGTATAAATAATATCTAGTGTATGTTACAATTTTATACTGGGCCAGAGAAATTATGCTTAGGGTCTGTGTATGATAGGGTACCTGGTTTCATGATTTTAAAAGTACCATGGTATCCAAGGTTTAGCTACCACTTCTATCCTAGAATAGGAAGATTTTCCTGCTGTGTACCACAGGAGCCTTTTTAGAAAGCAGTCACAGAAATTGCTGAGTTAAACAACCTCCTACAGAGCAGAGTTTCTCAAATTGGAGTCCAGGGGACTCCGGGGATCCTTATGGGTATTCCAGGGACTCCATGAATTCTTTTTAAGGACAAATGATAATTCCCCTTCTCCCCCATCTGGCTAATATAAAAACAGTTTTCTAGAAAGGGGGAAAGGGATTCTCCACCTCAGGGGAGGAAGACGGAATTAACATCCCCTCCTCTTTCAAAGGGTGGGAGTTCAAAGAGTTGCTTGCTGCTACCCACAGTCTCCTAGTGTCCAGATCACCTCAGACCAGGAGCCAGAAAAACAGGTTGGGTCTGAGTGGCTCAACCCTAAGACCTTTGTGGCACCAAGGAGGTACAATGTTAGTACAGTCACCATCATTAATTCAGGTGAAACACTGAACTGGATTCTTCTGCAAGGGAAAGAATTTCTCCATAGAGATACAGAGATGCTATTTGGTGTCCACAGACAATAATACCCAATGCCAGTTTTTCATTTGAATGTTCAATGCTGGTCTCTTCTATTGCTAAGAGCAGCCCTGAAATTTTTTCCAAGCTTTCCCCGCTCCTGTTCAACTGGCCTCTGGCAAGAAATCATTAACTAAAGAAAGTTTCTTGCTGTCTTCAGGGTAAAGTCCAATCCACTCAACAGAAGAGACTGAATTACATTAGGACCTTGAGCGTGAGATAAGACCTCATTTACTGGCTGTAAATATTACTACAGGAGTTATAATATTCTGAATGTACTGTTGAGCTTCATGATTAATTAATAAGCTGTGTTCTTGTTAATGAATCATTCAAAAATACTGTAAACATTTATACTTGGCATAATATAAAAAAGATTTAAAAATTGTAAAACTATACACAGTGATTTAGTGTTCTACTTAGTTAAATACACCATGGTCCGGTTTATTGTAATATAACCTTGATCAGGCAGGGTCTTTGGCGTTCTGGTCCTATAGAATGTCTCCCCCTCCTGACCTTGTAAGCCATATATGGACAGCTTCACTGTATTCTTTTAAAGACACTGACCCCATGGACCAGATCCCGCCAGGCCCTCCTGTCTTCCGCCGTCCTCTGAAGTTTGCTCAATTTCATGTTCGTTGCATCTATGACACTGTCTAACCATCTCATCCTTTGCCGTCCCCGTCTTCTTTGACCTTCAATCTTTCCCAGCATCAGGGTCTTCTCCAGTGAGTGTGCCCTTCTCATTTGGTGGCCAAAGTATTTGAGCTTCAGTTTCACTATCTGGCCTTCCAGGGAACAGTCAGGGTTGATTTCTTTTAGGATCGACTGATTTAATCTTCTTGCAGTCCAAGGGACTCTCAAGAGTCTTCTCCAGCACCATAGTTCAAAAGAATCTATTCTTTGGCGCTCGGCCTTCCTTATAGTCCAAGAGTCGGACTCGACTGTGCGACTGAACAACAACTGTAGGGCTCCTATAGGGTATGCTCAGGGTGCCATGTATGCTTTGAAAGGGGGCTCAGTCTTGGGAGGTCTGTGAAAAAAACTTAAATAAAAACTGGAGATCCTCATATTTGGGAACCTCTGCTAGACAGGAGTATTGAGTCCATGACTTGCTGACATGTATTGTACCTACATTTCTAAGCAGTTGCCTAGAAGGACTAAATAAAGCAGCACCAGTGTGGAGTGGAGCATCAGCAGGTAATACAGCTTGACCCTTTTCTCTATAAGCCAGGCAAGCACATTCTAGGTTTTGTGCAACTTCCACCAGTCCCTCATAGCTCCAGATCTTGTTTTCATAGAAGTCCTTTTCAGTTATATTTTACGCATACGGGGCGAGCTCACTACATGCAATCCTTCCAATGCGGGTGATCATCAATTTCCCTGCATATTTTTCAGGCTCAGTACATGCATACCAGAACCCTCCGGGGAGAATATCTGGAGGATTATGAGTAGCGCATTCTCCCCATATTTGTGTTAAAACTGGAAGGGTTTATAGTATAGAGGGAATGCTTTTTCTTCAGAAGGATCTTTGCCCCTGTTAATAACAAAAACTAGTTCAGGAATTCACATCACCCAGGAGAGGGAAAGCATGCAGTTTCTGAAAAAAATTCAGTAAAACAGCAGACATTTTAAGCTTTGTGCAGGGAAAAAGAATGTAAGTTACAAGAGTAAAAAATGGGCAAAACGTTTCAGCTCCACTGCTTTCTCCCTCACAGTGAAACTAAAATTGGCCAGCGCTGATCCAGCATCACTCAGATCCAGATCTGCAACCATTTAAATGAGGAATATTTCTGCATGGGTTATTTGCCTAGAGTTCAATGATATTGGGAAGTGGGTTTTTTACCTGTTTCCCAACAGCATGGTGGTGCATTTTCGCATCTTCCAGGGTCTCCCCAGCTTTTATTTGACCTTTCTCAAACCTGCTTTTCTGTGAAGTTTTGGAAAAAATCACAGAAAAGCCTGGGTGGCTGCCATGTGAGTGGGAAAGTTTGGATTTTCCTGGCCCTGCCCACACAGGAGCCATTTCTACCACAGTAGCCATTTCTTCTCCCTACTGCAGAGGGGTGGGGTGGGGGTTAATCAACAATTTTATTGCATTAGATTGTATACTGTTATACCAAAATATACATTAGGTTATCTGGATTTCCAGCTTTTATATGGGAAAATGTATATCTCTTCAATGACATAGTCTAGAGATTTTTTTAAAATCGAAAGCTGGGAATTCAGAGAACCTGATAGACAGAGTGTAACACTACTGAATTAGCCACAGCAGCAATAGGTAACCTACAAAAGCTTTTCCCCATGTGGAAAACCAGGTCAGCATCTCCTACTAAAAAAGCATTGCTTCAGGAGGTATGGGGAATCATGGTCATTTTCAAAAGATGTTGGTGGATAAGTGTCCTAGAGCTATAGAACTCAGGAGTGCCATTTTCAAAGAATAAGTTGTCATTAACTCACTGCAGGCACTGAGTGAGTGAGTGAACATACAGACACACACATGAATAAGAGAAGAACTGAACATTCTGTCAATAAGAACACTGCAAGAAACATGTCGCAGGCATTGATAACACTTGTTGCAACCACAACATGGCCATGACAAGAAGGAACTAATCTTCATTTCTCAACACTGGTAAAACTCAACAGCCACAGACTAGACCAGTTTCATCTGTACCCGCCCACTGTATTCAGAAGACTTAAATGTTTGCAGCCATTGCTTCTACAACAGACACATGAGTTCAATGAAGTTCTATTAACTGAGGGCTATGAATGAGAAAACTGCTGTACATTTGCTGCACAAAAGCCCAGCAGGAACTCATTAGCATAATAGGCCACACCCAACAGCAGAAACCAGAGGTCGATTCGGGGGGATCGCAGTTCCCCCGGGTGAGGGGCGGGGCATACGACAAAGCCCCACCCCCTGCTTCTGGCCGCTCCGCTTCCAGCCCTCATTCAGCCAGGAGGAGGCAGGAGAAGAGGGAGGGTAAGTTGCTTCCTCCACGCCTCTCCCCACCCCTGCCTGCCTGGGACCAGGGAGGGCCTTGGCAGGGCTTCCTCGCACTCCCGCCGGCCTTGTAGGTCCACCGCCGGGCCCCTGATGTCAGGGTGTGTGGCATATGCTAATGAGTTATGCTAATGAGTTCCCCTAGCTCTTTTTCTACGAAACGACCCCTGGCAGAAACTCATCCAGTTTGGTGTAGTGGTTAAGTGCGCGGACTCTAATCTGGGAGAACCGGGTTTGATTCCCCACTCCTCCACTTGCACCTGGATGGATGACCTTGGGCAAGCCGTAGTTCTGACGAGTTGTTCTCTCAAGGACAGCTCTGGAAAGAGCTCTCTCAGCCCCACCTACCTCACAGGGTGTCTGTTGTGGGGAGGGGAAGGGAAAGGAGTTTGTAAGCCGCTCTGAGACACCTTTGGGTAGTGAAGGGCGGGGTATAAATCCAATCTCTTCTTCTTCTTCTTCATCCACCTATTAGGCCACACCCATGACAGCACAGCTTATTAGCATATTAGGCCACACCCCATGCCTTCCCTTGGTTTGCCCGGGCACCCTGCGGCTGCAGAGAGCCCAGGCAAGCTCCCCCTTGAAGGGAAGGGAAGGCAGTTTAAGCCGGCCCTTGGACAGGGCCTTCCAGGGCCCCCCTTGGCCCACCTGCCTCAGAGTTGCCGGGGGGTGTGTGTGCTCTCCAGACCTTCCTTCTGTAGCCACGCATGCAGAGGTTTTGGCTGTAGTGGGCATGGCCAACTCTGAAGCCAGCCGGAACTCTGTTCCTGTGCGTTCTTGCCCCAAAATAGCCCTGGACTTCCTGTATATAGGACTGCCAACAACCTGGAGGAAAAATGTCCTGTCCCTTTAATAGAGGCTTAAAGAGATATTATTTACCAGGTAATATTACTTACTTCTATGCCACAAACAGCTTCACCTGCCCATTTCCACACATTAAAGGGACAGGACATTTTTTTCTTCAGGTTGTTGGCAACTGCAACTGTAAAGAGACCTCTTAGTTCTTCATTTTAAAGTGAGAATTTTAAGTGGTTACTGTTGAGATGTTTTCATATGGCATGAGTGAGCTTAACTCTATGATACGCAATTTGGCAGTGAACAGTCTTGAGGCAGAAGGTGTCTGTGGGATATACAGGGATCCAAACAGGTGAAATTATAGAACTAGACCTTAAGTTGTTCAAGGCTTGCAGTGTTATTTCATTCTATACTGGCAGTCTTTAAGCCGCGGCTAAACAAACACTTGTCAGGGATGATAGATGGCCTGTATGGCCCCTTCAAACTCTGTGATTCTATGATTCTATGAGTGCGTTCAGACGGGGCATTTGCAACGGTATAGGTGCCGGTTGGAATCGGTGTACTTACCGGCGTTCACATGGCGAACCTCTGCCTTCCGTCCCTAACCGTTGCAAAGAGTCTTACACCGTTATATTCTGCCACTAGGTCCCCAAGTGGTGGTATCCTGAGTGCAACGGTTGTAATCGCTTTACCCCCGTCTGATCGCTCTCCAATGTTGTAGAGCCACTTCCGTTCGGAAGCCCGAGGCTTCCGATTTTTGCCCACCATTTTTTTTTAGGTTGGCGATATGCGCTTGGGCGAAGCTTCGCCCTGGCGTTTGTTTAAAAAAAGAAAGAAAAGGTCCTTAGTTTAAGGTTTTGGAGGACTCTGAGACCTCAGGGAGGCCAGTTTGGTCTTTAAACTTTAAAGGTAAGTCCTTACCTTTAAACTTTAAATGTAAGACGGGGTGTTTTGCGCATGCGTGAAGATCACCATTCTGTGGATGGCTGCCTATGCGCATGCTCAAACGGAGGTTTTTGGGGGGGTTTAACGCCGACGCCCGCTGCATGTGAACGGGCATACAGCGATGGCCTCCGCAGACAGGAGGTAAGTGTGATTGTGTTTCAGCCGGCATAAACTGCACCGGTTCCAACCAGTACAGTTTATGCCGGCTGAAACACCCCATCTGAACGCACCCTATATGATACAGACACTCAAGCAGGGGCTAAATTCTCATGGAGTGTGGTCTCAAAGGACCAAGTGGTGGAATGCCACTTGCATAAATTAGAGATTATGGAATCAAGTTACAAAAAGAAAAGTCACTCTATTAGGGAAAGCATAATTGAGACACGTTTCCTTTGACCGGCAGGGGGCATGGCCATTTTCAAGAAAGGACTGAATCAGAGAAGCGCCTGTTTTCTTATGGGAAATGTTGCTTTTGTGTGCAACAGCACACATTTTAAGATTTCTAGATTTCCCCCCCCCTCTTATTACAAGGGCACTTGATGATGTGTAAGCAACGCGCTTGGAACTACATGTGGTAATACTGTTTCCCATCTACTGGATTTTAAAATTTCTTAATACTACATGTGAACTTACAGTATGTGCAGTGCCCACAGAGAATATAAAATACACACATATATGTACTAGCTCCTAGTAAAACCATCTGGAAGTATAGTAAATATGTTTCACTGTGTACCAGCGGACCTCAAGGGTCAGGGTTTTTTTCTCTCTTTAGATAAAGGGTGGTTTTTTTCTGTTTTGAGAGTAAATGCATATTGCTGAACACAAACGCAGTATCTCCCTAAAGAAAGCAGGTGCTTTGTTGATTAAACGCTTTTTTGAAAATGGTCATATTTTGTTGGGCAATTCAAAAAGTGCTGAGTCATCATGACAAGGTTGTTTCAGAGGGTAGCCATCTTGGTTTGCAGTAGAAAAGCCAGATTCGAGACCAGTAGCACCTCAAGAGACCAACAGAATTTTCAGGGTATGAGCTTTTGAGAGTCAAAGTTCCCTTCGTCAGATGACAAGGTATTACTGAAAAAGGATGCACGCTGGCTCATCAGACTTTAAACTATCGCTCCATGGGGTTTAAATGAGACTGTACTTTTTGTAATCAGTGCACAGTGGCCAGCTATTTTACAGATTATGGTGGGAACATCCTGAGAAAAGGGTGTTTTACAAGTTGGTCACCTTCTCTGCTCTTTAAATCGAGGGAACTTCATTTTAATTTGAAAGTTATGAAATGCATATAAATATTTTAGTCTGTATGTGGGCTTGTTATGTGGAAAAGTCTCAACCTTTCCATCTTTGTATGGATCAGAACATTATATAGCTTCTGGAAAATATTTTTAACATATTCAGTTAGCACTGAATTGTCTTTCATTTTTATTCTTGTTTTCTAACAAAGCAGCATGCAGGATGCATATGGATTTTTCATGGAATATAATATTTTCCCCACTGCACCTTTTTTTCCTTCACTGCTTTGACTCTATATTGGTGTGGCCCCCTCTTTCTCATACTTCAATCAGTCCCACAATGACCGTTACTAGAGATCCATGCATGATTACAGTAAACTTCACCTCAAAGCGGTCAAGAAAACCCTTCAGATTTGTGAACTGATCCAAGCATTTTGGTTCAAACATCCGTTGCTGATCCAAGACATCATATGCAACAAAATCCACATAGGTGAGCTGGAAAACAAAAAATAGATTTTTTTGTTTTATTGAACCATCAAACTGGAGGTCTTGGTTTCTCTAATCACATAGAGCTCATGTACCTTCTTTCCTGCAAACCATTTCCTGTCTCCCAAAAACTGCGAGAACAGCTTCAGTTTTGCTGGTAGCTGCTCCAAGTACTCAGGCTTCAGTTTTTCCTGCAAAAAGAGAGACTGTTGAGTCATGGATAGGCTCTCTTCCAGCTAAGCTTGTGTGCAACCTTGAATTGATTTGAACAGTTAACTCCCCACTGCTGAGCCACCTGCTTTTGCTAAATCTAAACACAGAATGTTCCTTCTCATCCTCAATCCCAGGACAGTAGAAAGGATTCTTTATTAGCCCTAACATACTTGCTGCCTTCCTATACCTTCATTCCATATTAACCCTGACTGATTCCTAGTTCATTTGTTGAATTCCAGATCCAACCCAATTTGCAAGGAAGACACAAACCAACGCACAAAATCTGGGCTGTAGCACATTCTTCCAAAAGTCAGGCGGAAATCCATGACATGGTTCTCAAGCATATCCATTCTGATAATTTCTTCTTCACTCTCACCACCTATGACAACACAACATACACAGATTGTGAAA